TTCTTGAACTGAGGGGCCCAGAACTGGACACAATATTCCAGATGAGGTCTCACCAGGGCAGAGTAGAGGGGAAGGAGAACCTCTCTCGACCTACTAACCACCCCCCTTCTAATACACCCCAGGATGCCATTGGCCTTCTTGGCCACAAGGGCACAGTGTCGGCTCATGGTCACCCTGTCGTCCACCAGGACCCCCAGGTCCCTGTCCCCTACACTGCTCTCTAACAGGTCGTTCCCCAATCTATACTGGAACCTGGGGTTGTTCCTGCCCAGATGCAGGACCCTACACTTTCCCTTGTTATATTTCATCAAGTTATTCCCCACCCAACTCTCCAGCCTGTCCAGGTCCCTCTGGATGGCAGCACAGCCTTCTGGCGTGTCGGCCACTCCTCCCAGCTTAGTGTCATCAGCAAACTTGCTGACAGTACACTCAATTCCCTCATCTAAATCATCGATTAATATATTAAATAATACTGGTCCCAATACTGACCCTTGAGGCACTCCACTAGATACAGGCCTCCAACTAGACTCCGCCCCATAGACTACAACTCTCTGGCTTCTCTCCTTCAGCCAGTTCACAGTCCACCTCACTACCCGATCATCCAGACCACACTTCCTCAATTTAGCTGTGAGGATGCTGTGGGAGACTCCGTCAAATGCTTTGCTGAAGTCAAGGTAGACCACATCCACTGCTCTGCCATCATCCATCCACCGTGTTATTTCCTCATAAAAGGCTATGAGATTGGTCAAGCATGACTTCCCCTTGGTGAAGCCATGTTGACTGCCCCTCATAACCCTCTTATCCTTGATATGCCTTAAGATGGCACCAAGGATAAGGTGTTCCATCACTTTCCCAGGAATGGAGGTGAGGCTGACTGGTCTATAGTTACCCGGGTCCTCCTTCTTGCCCTTTTTGAAGACTGGAGTGACATTTGCTTTCCTCCAGTCCTCAGGCACCTCTCCCATTTCCCAAGACTTGGTAAAGATGATGGAGAGTGGTCTAGCAATGACCTCTGCCAGTTACCTCAGCACCCGCGGGTGCATCCCATCTGGACCCATGGATTTATGGATGTCCAGATTGCTCAACTGGTCTCTAACCCATTCCTCATCGATTAAGGCAATAAGGCTATGCTTTCCTTTCTACTAGTCTACTGCTTGATGCCAGTCCACTGATTATTTCAATGAAAGATCGTGCAAACAGGGATCCAGGTCACAACATTTATTGGGCCTTCAAGTTCTTCGTTCCCAGAGTGTAAGAATTTATTTCTGTCAGAAAAGGACATAATTTCCTCAACAACAGATTTTGGTATGAGGCAAACTACCACACGCAAAACTGGGAAGGTGGAAAAAAGAATTGCAGTTGCAAAACCAAGTAACATTTTGTTAAAGGAGGTTGACAAACAGCATTTATAAGTTGGTGCTGTGCACTAAGTTCTGTATGCAGTCTCTAGCCAAACTGACCAGATTTTTAAGCATGTTGAATGTCTACAGCTCCCATTACACTTCGTATACCTGGAAATTACGGATCAAAATCAAGCACATGCTAGATAATACATTTCTGTTTGCTGCTTATTTATTACTGTTATCTATCCTTACTTATTTTTAAAATAACTGTTACCAGTAAGAGTTTGAAAGGGAACATCTTTATTTTACAAAGTTTTTGTACTTTGCTTGCTGCTTGCTGGCATTCTTCAGTCCTGGCAGATCAATTTATAGGAGCATAGTCCAAACTGTACTCCCTCTCTTAAGCTTTATGAAAAGTAATAAAGTGGAAAAGAGCAACTTTTCAAAAAGTTGAATTTAGAACGAGTTTCTGTAATTGTAGAGATGTAATAGTTGGAAATCTTTCAGTGTCAGGTGTGCCATTTACCTGACTTTTTTCTCTCCTTGTAATAGTTATAAGCAATTGTAGATGGAACAAATAATGATTTTTTTTTCTTTTTTTTCTTCTTTTTTTTTTTTTAATTTTTATGGAAGTTAAAATCCAGGTCACAGATTACAGAGAATGAATGATTTCCCCTGTCTATCAATAAGAGTTCCTAGATAGGATGTGTAAAACCTTAGGGGATATCAAAGGTGAGAACCTTGATTTGTGTTATTAAATGTCAGGACAACAATTTGAGTCAAGCAGTAGACCTCTCCCCAGTTTCATGTTAAATCAATTCCAGTTACTCTAAATAATATTGACTTGTTTGTAGCAGGGTTATGAAACTGGGTCTCTCACATGTCAGCTAAGTGCTTTGGATGTACAGTTTAACAGAAGATTATATTTTGTCTCATTGTTAAATCGGAACATGCATGAATTTGTTTGAGGGTAAACTACTTCCTTCTCAACTCCAGTGTCACTATTCCTAAACTCTTAAACCCAAAGAAAGGAGATGAAAACTGTGACCATTGTAAGAGATTAATCACAGATGGATAAGCACAAATCTGAGGAGTCTTTATGGCCTCAAACACAAATGGGAGATGAATGAAAGAGCAGTGAAGGCAGTGCAAATTGAAAATCATTTGCCTTGGGTATAGATCTTTTCTGCTCAATCATTAGCAAGAAGAAATTAGAGAAAATTCAAGAAAATTTGTGATGTGTATTGACTCTGATTTAATATGCATAAGACATTAGAATATGAATGTCACACAGAAAAAATCCCAAGTTCTTGGTCTAAAAGCAGCATAAAAAAAATTTCTTGATTTTCTATTTAGTTTCAGGTACACGCATAAAGATTACGAACATTGGACAATAATTTTCTTATGCTGTCATTAGTATACATTCATCTCAATGTTAGTATACATACTGAGGCTGTCTATAAGATGTTTTAGTGGGTTATTCCATCTTGCTTCAACATAAAAAGGGTTAGTAGGAATAATGCAACTGGAGACAGTTACAGGGCTCTATGTGTCAAAATTAGATCAGTAAAAATAAAGAAGCCAATCCTACCTCAAACAAAAATTACCTTGAGTTAATTGTTTACAGAACCAGAGAATCATGCTTCTGTTATTACAGAAGCATTTTAGTACTGATCTCTTAAGCCAATGCTATAGATATTTATATGTCTCTTATCCAGTATTCATTTCCTGTAAGTATCAGGCTTACAATGCATAAGGCTAGTTTGCAACATAATCTGCGATAAAGATACTAATTCTGCAGTTAAGTTTTGCCTGCAATAAATGGACATTAGAGAACTCATAAATGTGGGTTAAATGAAAGTCTGCCAAGTCACACAGCCAATGTCCATTTTAGTGGCTCTTTATCACGAGAGAAGGGCACAATGATTCTTCCATACGATGCTGGATGAATCTTATGTAGTCACAGGAACAGTTGAGAGCCCCAATTAAAATCTGTTTTCATTAAGTGAAAGTGACTGTTCAGACTATTTTTCTATTACATTCCTAGAAAATGTGTTCAGTTCAGATTTGCTGGTTAAACATCCACATTGCTACAGATGAGAGTAATTCATGACAGAAAGGAAGCAGTGCAATCAGATGTGGAGTGGCAGAGGTAACAGAGCCAAAATGATTGTTGATGGCATGTTAGGTTGGCTGTATCTGCCACTTTTTCCATCTAAAGGAAAGGAAAGCAAAGCATCATTTTCAGTAAATGTATTGATGGCTAAGATCCCTTTTTGAATCCAAGCTGGCCAAATCATAGGAGTTCAGTGTTGAACCAGATAGAAAGCTTAGTATATAGGGGCAGGAGGAATTTAAATTTAGTAGCTGCTGTGTGCCAAGTATATAGTCATTTTTCTTCAGGGAATTGGTTGAGTCCAGCACATTGGCAATGGGTAAGGGGAAACCTATTTTGATTCCAGCTGGCCAGACTATGACTCTATAGCTCAGGGGTTTAAAGCATTATGCTGCCTGATGTGGGATGATTTCCTGATGACCAAGTGTGAAGTTGGGACTACCTACTCCAATGGAGCTGTAATATTTGTAGCGAGATTCTGATCTTGTTACTAGTATTATAAAAAAAATAGTTAAATATGTTCATTTTAGTAAAATAATAGGAAGAAAGATGGATAAGAAGTATATCCAACATAACCTGTATTTCAAAAGGAGTTTCCTTTTATTTCCTTTTATTTTTTCTAAAGGGGTAAAAAGCAGTGTTTGTTAATCATTTGAATTACCTTCTAACTTACACAGTTAATTAGTTCAAGTTGATTTTGAGTTAAAAGAAATCAGTTGGGTGATCCTGTTCAGCCTGGAGAAGAGAAGGCTAAAGGGAGATCTTAGAACAGCTTCTAGTACCTAAAGATGGCCTACAAGAAATCTGGAGAGGAACTTTTTACAAGAGCATGTAGGGATGGGTCAAGGGGGAATGAATTTAAGATGAAATAGGGGAGATTTAGATTAGATATTAGGAAGAAGTTCTTTACCATGTGGGTGGTGAGACATTGGAAGAGGTTGCCTAGAGAAGTTGTGTCTGACAGTGTTCAAGGCCAGGTTGGATGTTGTTTTGAGCAGCCTGGTCTAGTGCGAGGTGTTCCTGCCCATGGCAGGGGGTGTGGAACTAGATGATCCCAAAGTTCCTTTCCAGCCCAAATCATTCTATGATTCTATGATCTAGACCATTTTAATTCAGCCTCAAAAGCAGAAGTACTTGCTGTGGGGGCCTGTATACCTGTCTGAAACGCTGAATCTCAACCAGATAATCAGCAACAGTAAAGTCTTTTCCCCATTCTCATCTATAAGAACTTCTTAACTGTGAATCTACAGTGCTTATACTTCTAGTACTATCAAATCATCTGAATGTTTCAGAAAATGCCTATTCAGAACCAAAGATGAGAAAAAGCTAAGGATCTGGGTTTAAATGCAATACTCCTAACTATTAAGACAGGATCAATTTCGGTTTTCTTATAGCAAAGCATTGTTTTACAGAAATTATTAATTTAAATAGTAGCCCTGTCCACCCTCTCAATACCAGTATATGCTCGTATGTATATTTTTATACATACATACTGTTTTATGTAACAAATATATATACAGATCTACATAAACAGGCCTGAATAAAATCATTTGAATTTTTTATTGTACAATGAAGGCACTGCGCCCCAGGTGTGACCTTGCCAGTTAATCTACAGCAAACTGTTTCTCACTTGTGAGAAGCTCTTTAATAAGCTAAGAGGTAATGACCACTGGATTGCACACACCATTAATACTGCACCATACTTACTGTTAATATTCATTGTGCATCTCAGTGATCACGGGGAGAACTCATGTTCTCCCTCAACAGGATCAGAGACAGAGACAGAATTAGGATAGCCCTGATACATAGTTGATCCCAATGCTGATGGTAGTTTGTTGTTGATGGAGAAACCACAGCATTCATTATTGTTGATCATGGTGCCATTGTCTCACATGATAACACTGTAAAGTTCAGTAAGTGAATACTGCATACTTCAGTGCTTTATAACTGAGAAAACAGGAAAAGTAGTGATGATCATCTTTTCCAACAGCTATTTCATATTGAGATATGCAAGATTCATTCCTGTATTCCATGTAAAAAACATATGTGAAACAACTAGAAAAATTTCTGAGATGCTTAAAGGCCTAGATATTAGCAAGGAGCAGAACACACTTTGGCAGCAATGTGTTCACCCAGGCACATTTGTCAGGTTTAATAGGACAAGCATAACGAGGGTTGGTTTTTTTCTGAGAAATGGTATCGTAATGTCTAATCATACTTTATAGAAAATATGGGTATTTTGTCACTCAGAGTTCAGTTCTCAGGGTGAAAAAATTCTTTTCTGCACAACATATTTCATCAAATTCTCCAGATTTCTGAACTAGAAATAAAATTAAAAGAACCCACAAGAAACAAACAACCAAAACAACAACAACAAAAAAAACCCCACCTGGTCTCTGTCCTTCTTAGAGAGCAATGATTAAATAAAGAAGCATAAAACTTTTTATCTTCAAAACTACAGTTGGACTTTAGAGGAATTACAGTAATGTATTTTATGGTCCATCTCTGGCTGCTGTTCAGAGATTTGTGTGTAGTTTTACTGCAGAACAGAGCCCGAGGAATGCTGGGTTGCCCTGTCTATTCTGAAAGTTTTGCATCCAGCATTTCAAACTTCTGAATTTCTTTTTTTCCATGGAGTCTCAGAAAGAAACTTTGCAGAGATAGTGACCAAAATGAACTCCCTGGTATTCTTTTGCAGTTATTTTGTTTCATCCCCCAAAAGAAAGACCCTAATAAAAGAGTATCCATTCATGTGCAAAGATGAGAATCTGGGGCAGAACAAGAGCAAAGGTTACACCTGCACCCTCCCCAGGCCTATTCAAGAGAGAATCAATTCATTTCTCACCTCTGAAAGTCAGACATTCTATCTGGGGACAGAGAAAGAGAATGGCCTGGGGACAGCTATTAGAAAATAAGAAATAAAAGTGTTCCATGTTTAGACTTTGAACAGAAATGACAGGCTATGCCCACAGGTGATGCATAATATTAATTATACTTTAGAAGAGCTATAAGCCTATGCTAGGGGAATAAGTAGTCTTGCAGTGGAGGAAGTATCTGTAAAATACCTGATTTTTATAATTTCTAAAATGCACATCAGCCTTATTTAAATTTTTTACCAGCTGAAGGTCTGAAGTGACACAAATTTACATTATATGAGCAATGCAGATCCTTAAATTATGAAGTAATTAATGTTTAATGACACTAGGTCCTTTGTAGTCCCATTTGATCTCTTAGCAAATACCAACCATATCTGGTAAAATGCAGAACTAAACTTTCAACTTCTGGACTCCTCAGGTTGAGCATTAACTGGCAAGCAAACCTTTTAAGTCCTTCTTTTAAAGACAGCAGAAAAAAATCACTGTAGGTACATATTTTCAGGTGGGATATGTCCATCTGTGTTTGTACTCTTTGTGTACCTGGCTGCCCTTGTAAATACACTGTTAAATTAAGATGGCTGTAGGTACTTACTGTTAGCCAAACTACACAGACTGGCAGTTCTGGGACAGCTCTGTTCATGCAATAATTTACATAGGACTTTATTTATTGCTAATCTGTGGATGAAATTGTGTAGATTTCTAGATGGCTGGAACTGTGGATGCAATGAACTAAAAAAAATGTCCAGCATTTGCTGCAAGCATGTAGTTTTCTTAGCTGTTACTCCACTTGCTTTGAATACTTTTATTTTGGCTGACAAATCTCTTGGTATGTTATTAATTACACAGTTTACAAAAACTATATATAAAAGTTATTACCACTAACTGAGTTTCAGGCATGGTGGGAATGGGTGGGTTAAAAAGCCAACCAAACAAGCAAACCAACTAACCAATCAACCAGAAAACTAAAGTTATTTATTTGAAGCTAGACTTTCAGAAGTTCAGAAGATCGCTGCTAGAATCAGCTTGAATCATAACAGAGTTTCCAGCAATGACGACACAAAGGATGAGGCCTCTTTTGATCTTGGCTCATCATATAAATACAAACACAGGAACAGGTTGCCCTCAAACATCTGCGAATAGCAACACACCATCACCTTCATATCCCTGGGTGGTTTTACGGTTATTTCATGTCAGAATGAAAAACTGCTAGCATAAACTGCACAAGTCTGTTGAACCATAGTATTAAGCATCCTGCAAGTTTTTGAGAAAAACTGAGTCTTATCCTTTTCCAGTATAACTTGCATGTTGATGCAAATAATTACTTAATGGCTATAGCAGGAACAGAAGTACGCTAAACCCAGTTCATATTTCAGTTCACAGATTGTGGCCAGAATATAAGCCCATAACTAAGAAATGCAATGTTCTGACTCCTTAGAAACAAAAAGTTGTTTGTGATTTTAATGCACAGCTGAGTTTCAGCAAAATGTGAAAAAGACGTTTTTGATGTTGGAAAACTCATGTTCACAGACTCATAGAATGGTTTAGGTTGGAAGGGACCTTAAAGATCATTGTGTTCCAACCCCTCTACTATTAGCTATTAGGAATTAGCTGTTAGGAACTTCTTCCTAGTAGCTAATCTGAATCTACCTTCTTTCACTTCAAGGCCATTTCCCCTTTTCCTATCACTACATGTCCTTGTAAAAAGCCCCTCTCCAGATTTCTTATAGGCCCCCTTTAGGTACTGGCAGGCTGTTATATGGCTCCTGTGTTGTGACTTTTGGTCTTTGATTTAAAGTCTTTTATCTGAGTTTTATCTTTAGACTTTAAAGGTATCCTTATAATATAACAAACAAAAATATATGCAATACTGAATGTGTTTCAAGAACATTTAGTGGAATAACAGAAGATTCATAGGATTAAGTCCTGAGAAAAGGTTATAGAATCATAGAATAGTTAGGGTTGGAAAAGACCTTAAGATCATCAAGTTCCAACCCCCCTGCCATGGGCAGGGACACCTCGCTCTAAACCATATTACCCAAGGCCTCGTCCAACCTGGCCTTGAACACTGCCAGGGATGGAGCATTCACAACCTCCTTGGGCAACCTATTCCAGTGCCTCACCACCCTAACAGGAAAGAATTTCCTAACCCATTACCCCTTGTCCTGTCACTACAGTCCCTAATGAAGAGTCCATCCCCAGCATCCCTGTAGGCCCCCTTCAGATACTGGAAGGCTGCTACAAGGTCTCCATGCAGCCTTCTCTTCTGCAGGCTCAACAGCCCCAACTTTCTCAGCCTATCTTCATACAGGAGGTGCTCCAGTCCCCTGATCATCCTCGTGGCCCTCCTCTGGACTTGTTCCAACAGTTCCATGTCCTTTTTATGTTGAGGACAGCAGAACTGCACACAGTACTCCAGGTGAGGTCTCACGAGAGCAGAATAAAGGGTCAGGATCACCTCCTTCGACCTGCTGGTCACGCTCCTTTTGATGCAGCCCAGGATACGGTTGGCTTTCTGGGCTGCAAGAGCACACTGCTGGCTCATGTTCATTTTCTCATTTCAAATGTCATGGTATTTGCTCCTGTTCCCAGGCTTTGTGTAAGTGGCAGAGGGCTTTAAGTGGCTCACTTTTGAGAAATAGCTGCAGTCATTACTAGGCGAACAGTAATTTCTTTCTTGGGATTTCTTTTCATTTCTCTTCTTTCATAGGGGACCAGCAGAGCACAGTCTCACAGCAGAGCACCTAAATGCGATATATGGATGCTCCTGATCTGCTTCAGTGTGAAATCCAGCAGAGCTGTTGACTTTCGTGGATGCCTGTGATTGCCAGTGGGTTACAGTGGAAATCAGTGTGAAGTGGGAAGTGCTTGTAAGTTAAGCCCCTTACAACTTGAACAGAAGTTGAAGACTGCTCTTTACATAAAAACAGCTGCTGGGTCATACCAAAAGATTCATCTGGCCCTGTATTTTTTTCTCCAAGGGATGCCACAAGAGAGTAACTAGGGTTAACTGGGTGAAGAATAGGGCACGTAGACACAGCAGTTCCCCTTTCATCTCTCCGGTGTATAACCAGTTCCAGGTGAGAGACATGTATGATGGTCAGAGCTCTTACTGCTGCACAAACATCTTCATGCAAAACCAGACAGTCCTAAGTAAGTGGAAAAGGGAAACACTGGGCTTTTTAAAGGGGCCTTGTAAGCCCCTTCAAAGCAGAACACTGTCTTCTCTACACCAGGAGCCATAGTGCTGTGATAATCCTGTAAGAAAATTAACAATTAGGTATGTATGTACTAACCACATTCACGTAACAGCTTACTTCAATTCACAATAAACCTTTACGCTTTGGAGGGATAGGCAAAACTTCACAGGGCAGAGGTGAGCATTGTGGTTTGTTTGGGTTTTTTTTGTTGGTTTTGGTTTTTTTCTTTCCCTCAATGCTTCTTCAAACCAGTGGCTTAACAGCTTTTATTACAGTTCTATTTATAAGCTGTTGCAACACAGTGTGGTAGAAAGAATGCCAGAAAACCATCTAAATTACACAAAGTTGTAATCTGTGTCCAAACCAGTATGCACTGTATGCTCTAGAGTCTTTAATAAATCTTTTCCAGATATACAGTCCAGGAATATGGAAAGTCCAATTCTTTCCATTCAAAATAAATCTGTGCTCATTTCATGATCCAATTTTACAATCTCTGACATTAGTGTATGTGTTCATGCTTTTATATACAGCATACCAAGAAAAGGGGAATCACCACATAGCTGAGCAGATGCAAATGAACAGTCCGTAATGCTCGTCAGTACGACAACTGCAATTCTCCTTCAATTCAGAAACTAAACAAGTCACCCAGGCACCTGAGACCAAGGTGCCTAATTCTGCCCTAGGAGCTCCATTCCTAGAGCTGAGTGCCAGACTGCAAAACACTGCAGTGCTCTGCATGGCAATAGCCAAGTCTTCTTGTGACTTAATTCCAGATTTTTCATTCTAAAATCAAAATAACTGAATTCTTCTGTATTTGTTAAGATTTTCTGCATAGCTTTCATATGTTTCTGTGTACACTAATCTTTTGAGGAATACCATTTGCCAATTTTTTCCATAGAGATTTTCCATACACATTTTCCACATACGGTACAATTTGTCTCTGTTTTGTTCTCCACAAGTTTTACAGATTGTTCAGGTCTTATGAACAACTATCTTCTCAAATAGGAAAACAACAAAACAAGAACACACAGAAAAACTATAATACATACAATGGAAAATGCTCCCTTTAAACAAACTGTTATGCTTACTGACCTAATCTTCTTTCTTGGTATCTACCTCTCGACTTGGAAAGCTGGAAACAGACAAAGCAGGAAAAAATATTCTGCCCTTGAAATAAAACAACTCCCTCACCTGAGTTATCTCTTTTTTACTGCTTACTACTATTCCTATTCTTGTATGGAACTGTATTGTTTTTACTATGCCTTCTATTAATGACGATAGGATCAGTTCCATCTTATTTGCCTGCAAAATTTGAGACCAATATCCGTTCTGCTATAGGGGTCCCCTAATCATCTTGAGTAGTCTAAGATTCCTCATTTCAGGTTTACTAGAGAGATATTTAATTTCACCCCCTACCATGTTTTCAGTGTTATTCTCACCACATTCACATTCTCTGATCTCTCTGCACTGCCTCATCTGCATTGCACCAGGAAGGAATCTGGCCAGGATATGTTGGGCCAAGCTTACACGAAGTTTTCCAGTTTTATTTCCAAATCTTATACTAAAATAATTGGGTTGGGCAGGTTCACAGGGTATTGCAGAAACAACGAGGCTTGGGTGACAATAAGCCCTGCATCAGCATAACACACACAGCTGGTTAACAGTGAGCATCCTAGGAAAGGATGGTCTACCATCCTGACTTGGCTAAGGTTCTTCATATTTAAATGAAGGCATTCTTGGCAACACCTGCATTGCTGGGCAGAAGTAGCCTCAAAGCCATACTTGAAGCTAAATGCATAGCTGTGAGCTTTGTTGTAGATGGCCATCAATGACAGCTCAAAAGGGGTGCCTTTTCCAATTGAAAGTACACCTTCATATGCATTCTTTCTCTGAAATACAATGCGCCAGGCACAATAGATTCTACTCCTGACAGCAAGTAGTTGGTATTAGGCTGCATATGTGGCTCAGGGTAATTTCTAGAAATGTTTTTAGATCTCTCCCTGTAGGGAAGATGAGATTTAGAAGCCATCCGAATTCAGGATATCTGTAAGGAAATGTCAGTGATTCAGATACTGCATCTCAACAGCACTACTACATTCAAGCACCACTAGAATCTTTTAGTTTGGAGGACTAAAAATGAAGCCCATATGCACATCAGGAATTTTTCTCTCTATATGCACAGATAAAGCACTGAACCTATAGCATAGATAAATGCAAGGTTATATTGTATTATTATTATTTTTTCAACTATATGGTCAACTGAAGTATTCTAGCAAGTATATTTATGTAATTTAAACCATTAGATATATATTTTTAATGGTTATTATCTCCCCAAACACTGCTAGTATATTTCTAAAGATGATAGGTTATTATCCTTCGGTCTTCAGTGACACCTTGGAAAAAAAGCCCCGCACTTTCAAGCATGTCCATCCAAACATACAAGTAACAACACCCTCATCTTACATAAATGCACTGGTCACCAAAGACTTGTAGGTTTTTATATTTATTCCACCCAAAAGCAAGATTCTGGGTACTACTCCAAATACCTCTGATATACCTAGCAATGTTAAACTGAAATTTAATATAAATATTAATTTAAATAAAAAAGCATGCTTGCCAATCTTATCAGTTGCTGACTGACATACTAAAGGTTTCAAAGGCCTAAAGTCAAGAGCGCTGTAGCTAACTACTTCCATGGCCAGCAAAGTCTAACAAGACATTGGGTAATATATTCTGTGCTCAACAAATGTGTAATCCTGTTCAGAGCTTCTGAGACACATTTGCCCAAATGTTTTATACATATTACCAGAATTCACAGTAGAATTCCTGTTCCTGCTACAAAGCCTTCTACTCGCAGCAAAGAAAAATTTATGCTAACAATCTGTATACTAATTCCTATGCATGTTTCTTTTCTAAAAAAGATCAGAGGTCATAAAAAATTGTATATAGATACTACTTGGGCTGATGAAACAAAAATAAAATAATCAAATAAGATCACTATTTTTATCTGAATAAGGTTTCACTCTGAAAAATTGTTTTATGCAATAAAGCAAAACAGGTAAGTCAGACTGTACTGGGAATTCTGTCAGAAGTTCTAATCACAGATGGTCAGAATTTTTTTACTGCAGCCAAAGCTTTTCCTGGTATATACCAGTTTTGACTGGTATATATACACTAGTGGCTGTAGGCAAGAAAATGTGGTTGTCTGGGACAGGGGATAAATAACTTCTTGGTCTGAGCAAGCAGCTGGGTTTTGCAGAGTCCATATATCTTTGCTTTGCTTTGCTTGATTTAGAGCAGGAGAGTTGAACCCATGTGACGGCCCTAACCAGACAGTGATAAGCTGTCTTTCTTTTTAGCTTGATGAGTATTTAATCAGTTATACACAGTGAAGCAGCTCCAGCCACGGAGAGGCCAGTCTTCCACACCAGAATAGTCCTCTCAGCATAGCTGTCAGACAGCGACGTGAGCATTCCCGAGTCTGATTTGGGAAGGGTATGATTTGAAAGCAGGTCTCCCAGATCCCATGAGGATACCATAAGCATGAGGCAATTGGCCGTGATACATGTCTGTCTGTTCAAAAGGTTATTTTTGGTTCTAATGAAGAATGGGTAAAAAACTCTCTTCAGAATCTGTCCTTTCAAAAGAACAGACTCTCCCTGTTCTCCATGTGTACGGCTCCATCTGCAGAGAAGGTTGAGCAGAACCTGTCAGTATGCCTGTCAGTGGAGACAGGTCATGTGGCTAAGGTACACCTAGCTGCATCCTGCTGCAGGGCTTCCGAGGTGAGCGTGATTTATCCAAGTGATCATTTTATGTATCAATTTGCTGAAGAAACATGAACTTTGAAATATTAACAAAAAATACCCATTTCAACGTCAGAGATACCTGTTTCAATTACCCAGCCGTACCCATCACAGCAGCAGCTGCCTAGGCAGGTAGGAGAGGAAAAGGAAGGTCCGACGCAGGATGGCGCCCTCGGTATGAGCAATTAACCCGCGGGGCGCAGGCTGGCGGCGCACCTCCCGCATCAGGGCGTTTTTCTCTCTGAATGCCCCTGTTCCGAGGGAGCACTGCTTTCACAGCTCCGCTTTTCCGTGCGCTAGTACACTCCGCTACTACTCTGCAACACTAATTTGCCCAAGGATTGTTAACAATTTGTCTCACAAATCAGTATCTACTGTATTTAGTGCGGAGTTCCATGTGAACGATGAGAACTACGAGTACCTTTTAGGGGTATGCGCTTCCTTTGCTAACGCTGCTGTTAACGGAGATTTCACATGCTTCTGTGCAGAGTGTAACCCCGCAGTGCTTCACGTTCAAAGGTGGGTATGCGGAGTTTATTTGAAGTGTGGAGTTCCAAGCACAGCTCTGCCTTGCCCATTTCGCAGGGCACACAGCCGTCCCGGAGTGACCAGGGTCAGCACCGAGGATTACTCACTATCCTCGTTCATAAGGCAGCCTCACGGCTGATCCTGCGGGCCGGTCCTGTTCTTTCGACCCTCGAAGGAGTCCCCTGGTAGCCGTGCCTTTCCCGGCGAATCATTCCACAGCCCAGCCAGCTGTTGTGGATTCACCAGAAGAATTACACCTACTACCTCCGGCTCGGGATGGGAGCGCGCACCCGCACCATTTGGGAAATAATGTTAGCAGCATCTTGAAACCTTAGAATCTAGATTTAGGAAGGATCTTTTTTTTTATTTTTTCCTTTTTTTTTTGGCTATAGAAATTAACTTGGCGGGCAGGAAGGCAGGTCTCGAGTTACCATCCTCCGCCGCCGCTGGCTCCGCGGAGCAGATGCGGTCCCGCGGCCATGCCCCCCTGCCCACCGTCCTCCTGCTGCCCAGACCCCTGCCCGCCCGCACCCCGCCCCGCCCCAAAGCAAAGCAAAAGCGCCTTGCGCGGGCACAATCCGACCCGGTCCGGGATCGGATGACAAGCAGCGACCCCCACCGCCCCTCAGCTGAAGCGGCGTTACTTCTTTAATCAAGGCCCGTTACGGGGAGCGAGAAGCGACCTGCCAGCGGGGAGGGAAGGGGCACCGGTACGGGAGCGGAGGGACAGCCCGGGGCCCGCCGCCCGCTAGCAGCCGCCTGCACAGTGAGGCTGCTGAGGCGGCACGGCCGCCCGCCACCTCCCCACGACCAGGCTGGGCTCCACGCCAGCAGCACCGGGCAAAGCGTTCGCACCGAAGACGTTATCCCACTCCCCACCTCCCACCCCCGGCCGGTTTTTGTTACCCCGACTGTACCCCTGCCCCCCACCCCCGCCGCCACGTGACATGGCGCGCATGCGCAGCGGCTGTGCCGCCGTCCCGGGGCTCATCTGCGGCTGACGTCAGCTTTCTCCGCGCCGTCCCCCGGGCGAGGCTGCCAAGCTCCCCGCTGCTGCCGCGCTTGGCTTGGCTGGCGGCCGCAGCTGGAGGAGGTCTGAGGCTACTTCAACCAAACTTTCCTGAGCCCTCCCTGCTCTGTCTGCCTCCTCTCTCCTCCTCTACCCACCCCATTCTCCCCCCTCCCCGCTCTGTCTCCCGCTCCCCCCTCTCCCCCCGAAACTCAGATGATATTCACATGGTATTTTGCACAGAGGAGGCTGCTCAAGAGGAGGGCACCCACCCCCACCCCAATATAAGCCTGTTTTCCTTCCTTTCTTACCCCCCCCCTTTTTTTTTGTTGGAAAGACAAAATGTGCAGGGTGATAGGTTGGGTGAATTGATGGCATCCTTCCTCCTGCCAAGCCAGCCCGTTTTCTAAAAAGCCCTTTTAGGAAGGAAGGCTAGAGAATCTTACTCAATTGGAGAATAGAGCCCTGATGGTTGCTTGCACAGAGGGGGAAAAGCAGAGAGGAATACGGGAACCGTCCTGTGCAATCCCTATTGTTTGAAACTTACTTTATATCAGAAATTGAAGATGAAAACGGTAAGGAAGATTTCACGATATTCAATGAAACTTTTTGCTTTTCTTGTGTCCTGCGATGGTGTGTGCAGGGCTTTAGGGAGTGGGGGGAGGTTTATATAGTATTAGGTGAGGTGCATTTGCAGTAATTTCAGAGAGAAGTCTTTGAGGATGGGCGAAGCGGGTGCAAGGATTTTCACCCGTAACGAGCAGTGATTTATGGAGAACGGTCTCAGTGCAACTTTTGTATATATATATATATATATATATATATATATATATAAAAATTTTTTTTACACACTTTTGATACTGAGCTGTTGGTAGAGGGGGCGGACGGGGGGACCCCAACCGAAAACCAAGCAACAGATGAATCCCAGAGGAGCCCCCAAGCCCTGAGGTCGACTCGCCGCCGCTACTCGGGTGTCTCCGCGCTCGGTCCCGCCGTCCGCTGCAGTGGTCAGACAAGTGCACGTTCCGTGCCGGGGCGCGGTGGGGGGGGGGGGGGGCAGCCGGGTGCCGGCGGGGATGCCGGACTCTCGCCGGGCTCGTCAGGAAGATGGGAGCGTGTGGTTTTGATTTACTTCGAGCCGCTTAGGATTTGCCAGACTTCCAACCCCGCGGAGGCGCGTTTGTCGGTGTGTGCCTGTCTGCTCCGCGGTCCGGGGCTCATAGGGACTTTGTCTGGTGGGAGGAGGTAAGTGGGCTTTCGCTCCGTGGCGATGTGTGTGCGGGTTTTGTCTTCGAGATTTTCTTTCATTGTTGTACAAGAGAGAGGAGGGAGGGAGGGAGCGTCAGACTCTTGTTTTTATTTGGGCTGCCGGTGCAACGCGTTTGGGCCAAACGCCAAGTGTCTGGGTCACACGCGTTTTATCCAAATAGATTCAGCGCTGCTGTCTGGAAATGGGCTGCTGAAAGTTAACTTTAGGATCAACTCCACCGCAGCAACCAGACTCTTCCCTTCAGCCTCCCTAGGGAGGAGGGATTTTTCTTTTTTTTTCCTTCTGGATTTTCTTTGAGGAATAATGTGTCTGGTGACCTCCAACTTAATACTAGTTTGTTTTTTTTATTTTTTTTTTTTACTTTCTGTGCGTGCAGACGCGTGTAGTACGAATCTGTATACGTGTTGGGCTGTGTGTGTAGCCGTGTATTTTTCCAGTTTGTCGACTTTTTTTGGGGGGGGGGGGGTGTGGGGTGTGTGTGTGTGCTTTCTTTGCATACCCTCTTCACTCCTCGACCGCGGGAGTCAGTGGGGCGGGGTGTGCCGTTCGCGACCCCATCGCCCCGGGGGCCAGCCGGCCGGCCCCTCTGCCGGACAAGACCTTCCCCGGGGGCTCGCACAGCGGCAGTTCTGTTCCTCACGCCTAGGTTTCTGGTTCATTCCCGGGGAGGCAGGATCTGTCCGTCCCCTTTGTACGTGTCCCCCTCCGCGCCGCCCCCCGGCCCCCGTCTCTTCTCACCGAGCTGTTCACGGCGCGGTCTACGCACCGCTGTTTTCGCCTAGGGAACTCCCGGGGGCACGGCTAATCCACGGCCTTTGAAGCCCTGCGCCTCTTTTCAGGGACAGCCCCGATACCTGTAATTGAATTTGTGTGATTGATGCCGCCCGCCGCCCGCCCCCCGCCCCGTCCCCTCCCGCCCTCCCTCATCATTTCCGTAGCAACCACTCGTACTGCCGGCGCGGCGGGACGGCCGGCCCTGGCCGCGCCTCCCCTCACCGCGGCGCTCCCCGCCGCCCGCCCGGGCTGGAGAGGGCAGGAAGGCGGCGGGCACCTCACCGCGACGGCGGTGAAAACGGGAGGTGGAGGCGTGGTGACCTCCCCGCCCTTCGCCCGCTGGGAGCGGGGCTATTTACCGCTCGCCGCTGGGTTCGACCCTTCTATTCCGCCTCGAAGCGTCACCCCCCGTTGGTTTCTACGATCCGGCGCGGTGGTGTCGCGTTATTTCGGCACTTCGCCTGCGACCGGGAGACCTCGGTGCTGCTGCCGCTGCTGCCGCCGCCGCGAAGCGCGCTGGAGCCTGACGGTTCTGTGGTGAGCGACCCGGTTGTGGAGACCTCGGAGCCATGGCAGACCCTACGGGTGTGTGGCACTCTAGGCACGTGTGGGGATGCTCTTGGGATCATGGTCTCCTGATAGCTTGCCTGTCCTAAAACTTGAGCTATTTCAGTTTAAGAGATGCTTTAGTGGCCCAAAGGTGCCTTTGGGTGGATGGAAGCTCCCCATGCAACCCAAAGGTGACTTGATCTGAGCAGTTTGGGAAGACGCCTCCCCATAGTCCACTCTCTGCCCCAGAGTTTCCTGGTATATGTTTATGCCCCTTTTTCTACTCGCTGAGTTTGAATGGGTAGGAAGTTCCTGGCACTGGTGACAGGACTGCCAGTCTTGTCACTGCCTCCACAGAAATGGCAGTGCCACACAGCTTTGTAATCAGCACCGTAGATTCCAAAAAACATACTTCTTTGTTCCTTGTGATTTATGGTTAGGCAGCATCTGCGGTTTTAGGTGATGGTTCAGGACATGGAGCCACACCTGCCCTGCCAGGTGAGTGAATGTGTAGTTCAGAGATGAGATGGAGGAAATGCTTCTTACTGTAACCTTGATGATGACTGAGTGTGCCATTTTGTCAACAATTAGAAGTGGAATACTGAATATGTGCTTACCTCAAACTTCATACTAGAAGTACTGTTTCTGGAGTTACCTGAGTGTTTCATTCTTCATGTCTGTGACTGCTCCTTGATTCAGAGCATTAGTGTAGCTATGTGTAGTCTGCCTGTATCACTGCTCAAGTTGGCTATAATACTTTTGGAAAGGAGGTTAAAAACTTTGTTAAAGTTTCCAGCAAGCCCAAAATTAAAGGAGTTTTTTCTTGTGAGAAGCTTGGAGTGCGGGACACCATTTCAGACAGACACCTGCAACAACAGTAGACGGAGGGTGACTGTTCGACACTGTTGACCAACACCCACCATGTGGGCATTGGGTGTCGGAATAATGGACACTGTAATTCACGTCTGGTATTCTGAGCTACCTGGCTCTTTAGGTACTACTGTTTTGGGAGATCTAATGTTAGAATAACTTATTATCAGCCTTTTAGGCAGAACATGAACTCTGTGTTACAATTTTTTTCGGTGAAGTAAAAGCTATGAGACAATGTTACTTCTATATATGACAGTAACCAGTCATTACTGGTCTGCAGTGTCCAGTTCTGGTGTCTGTGCATGGAAATTG